GGGCGTGGTCGGGGGTCCAGGGGCACCGGGGCGGAGACCCCGGTCCAGCTGTTAGACTCAAAAAAAAAAAGCAAAAAGCGCAAAATTTTAAAAAGGCGCATGCCTGGGCTGAGGCGCAAGGCACATGCCTGGGCTGAGGCACAAGGCGCATGCCGGGGGCACTAGGCATGCACCTTTTGAAAGGGGTGCGCCTAGGACCTAGGCGAGGCGCATACCCCAAAATGCGCCCCGCCTGTGCGCCTAGGTGCGCACCTTGTAAATCACTGGGGACACCCTAATAACTTCATGAAACACTTGCAGATGATTGGAATCCAAAGGAAGATACCAATCAGACCTCCTTATATCACACCTCTATGTCCACAGTAATGAATCTCCTCAGTACTCTCAACAAGGACAGTCCAAAAAACTACTAAGATTACTTCCTTTACTTGTCTATAAATCCACAGGTTAAAGAAGAAGAATGAGAGAGAGAGACATCAGTCCATAGGATCAGAAAACCTGCTCTGTTACCATGTTTTCTTGTGGCAGCCCTCGTATTATTATATTTGGGCAAACATAAAAAAAGAAGGATCAAAAAGACCATATTGCCCCTAGGACATCAAACTGAATAAGAACACTATATAAACAAAAAAACACTTTTATACTGTTGGGCAGGGCTAGAGAAAGCAAGAAAAATTGTAAACTGGAGATGGTGAAAAGAAGAAATGAGCACTGTTTCACATGGTAGAATACTAGAATATGGCTAATTGAGTATGTTTCAAGGATCACTCAAAATGGGACATCTGCCTATCTTTGATATTTCACTTTTTATTCAACCTCTGTATCTGCACCTTACTTCTGCTGTGTCGATGTAAAACAATATGAACCAACAAATACAAATGGAAAATTATATTAATTATTTATAAGATTGAATTAGATTACCTTGATTGTGCCTTTTTGAGGAAGATAATAAACCTCCTCACATGTACCACAATATAAACGTGATGGTTGAGTGGAGATGTACTTCATGTACCGCAGACATTTCCCACATTTACTGAGCACACGGCCTGAATCTGCTAAAGGTGAGAACTGTGCTTCAAACAATGCATCCATGTTATCAATCTGCAGTAAAGAGAATTGAACCTAGTTGAATCATCCTGATAAAAAAACAAGTATGAACAGAAGTGATGAGATACATGGCTGCTTTCTAAACATTCAAAATCTAACGTTTCAGATGATCAAGTAGGATGAGAAAAACCTTGCAAAAACAAATCTTACTTGGTGTGTATAGAAGTATACCTAGAGATTTGTGAATGCACRAAACCCTAAATAAGAAACTAACAGAAAATCTCTGGGAAAAGACAAAGAGATACCAAATGAAAATCCACAGTAGGATACTTTTCCTTCATTTTACTCATTCAACAGCTATGTACGGTGAAGGGCTGCATTTCTTCCTGTTTTTCTTTCATTTTTCCTTTTTCTTTATAACCTTATATAAATATGCACTTTCACTTGCACATCTTCCTTACATTTTTTTATTTATTATTAGGAATTCAGGAAAGAGTGAATGGTTAATAGCAACAGGAAATAGATCAGAACAACAATCCCATAAAGCCCAATTTAACCAGAAGTTCAGGACCTTCAGGTTTCCGACTTTGTTGATAGGTATGCAGGTCTTGTTACATTAACCTGAAGTTCAGGTCTTGTTACATTAGACCAAACCCAAGCCAATTTCCAAATTCCATTAGAATAACACCAACCTCAGGCACTAGTTAATAAATTTGCAGAATGCAGGAGTGAAATGGCTATTCAGACTTTGTTGCATCTTTTGGAGACCATGCTCATCTTGGCCTTGTAGCTTCTCTTTTTTCACCAACAAAAGTTGTGTAAGCTTGAGGAAAAGAAATACTTGATGCCAAACATAACCTGATGCAATGTGACAACCTCCGCTATGAAGCTAGAACATTGAATTTGAATTACATCATTCACAAGTGTAGCCAATATTTCTTGAAGGGGAACTAAAGGAAAACCATTTAAAGGGTGTGTTACGAAATTATAGGCTGTAAATATGTAGTATTAGCCCAATTAGGAATAGCTTGATTATAGGAATTATTCTTTCTTTGATTTTCTTCCTATTTTAGTATCTATAAGGCTGTATGATTTTCTTCCTTTTTTGTATCTGCAAGGCTGTATGATTTTCTTCCTTTTTAAAATCTATAAGGCTGTATATATATGTACTATTTTCTCAATTGAAAGAAATCAATTTCTTCCAATTCTTGTTCTRTCACATGGTATCAGAGCTGGAGACACCAATTCCAGTCTGAAACTAATTTCTGGTTTTCTTCCCTCTGCTGCCCAAGTGAGAAGCTTTGAATTCTTTATGTTGCCCAAGTGAGCAGCAGCTGCGATCTCTAGGTCACCCATTCCGAGTGACATCTGCATCTCACCACCCCTACCAATGGAAGCGGAATCCCAGATCGGCCTACCCACCTTCACCGGTATCTTTTCCGACGATCGCCTCAGCCTCGGTGTTACTCCTGTGGTGTTTGTTTGCCCATCAGGAAAGTCTTTCTTCTCTGTTCTTTTTTATACAGTTGATATTTCGGTGCTACCAGTTGTGGTTTCTTGCTGTTTGGGTGTTGCATCTGCTGTCGATTCTGTTTAAGTGTGTTTTATTGGCTTTGCTGGTTGTTAAAAGTTTATTTTCCTGTGTTTATGATGGCGGTTGAACARAAGAACTTGGCTATGCCTAGTGTTATCCCCATTCTGTCTAAAATCACTGAACAAAAACTAAACGGAACTAATTATTTAGATTGGAGTAAGACTGTTCGTTTGTATTTACGGAGTATTTACRGAGTGTTATCCCCATTTTGCAAGACATTTTATTAGGCTGAACAACAGGATCAGTCTCTTTAGACCTATTTCATGAATTTCAAATGAACTTATGAGGAATTGAACGCCTTGTTACCTTTCAGTACTGATATCAAAGTTCAGCAGACTCAACGTGAACAGATGGCTATTATGAGCTTTCTGGATGACCTTAATCCTCAATTTGATGGTGCTAAGTCACA